GTGTCGGCAAATCGAAACTCTCCTGGTCGAGTCCGCTGTGAATGCCCAGGTTAATCGGGACTCCTGCGCGGAGGACAACGATGACGACGCGAAGCTGCGTTGGCTGATTGCCCAGAGAAAGAGTTTACATAATTCGTGCGCGACGGACAGAGCTACAATCAGTAAACAAATCAACAAGGAAATTCGGGCACTCAGGCGAGACAGGGCGTCGGACACAATCGATTCAATCTTGAGTTCTTTCAGAGGCTTGAAGCAGATCACCAAGCTGAAAACACACAAGAAGAAACGCTTGACCACCCATATGAACGACGACAACGGGGGTTTGCACGAAGACCGACAGTCAATTGCTGATGTATTCGCAGATTTTTATGCAAAGCAGTATCACTCAAGTACTGAAGGCTTTGCCGGCGCAGTGGCCACAGACGCTCCCGGTGGCGATATGCCTGCATTCGCTGTTGACGAGCTACGCACGGGCATCAAGATCTTGAAAGGTGGCAAATGCTGTGATGCCAGCGGTGTTCTTGCAGAGATGATAAAGCGCGGAGGGGAAGCAGCGGAGAAATTGCTGCTGCAGTTTTTCAACGCGATCGTATCAGAAGACAGACCGCCACCAAGGGCTTGGAAGGAATCTGTTGTCAGCGTGATTTTTAAAAGTGGTGATCCGTCCGTGGCCAAAAATTACAGGCCAATCGCGATTATACCGTTATTATACAAACTCTTTGCAAAGTTATTATATGCTAGATTCTATCCTGTTCTTGACCAGCACCAAAGTATCGATCAGGCGGGTTTCCGGCCTAATGTCAGCGCGACGCATCATATTTTCGCTGTCGCGCTTCTCCAGGAGAAGTGCCACGAATGGCAGCAGAATCTGTGGGTGGCCGCAATTGATTTCAAGAAAGCCTTCGACTGCGTGGAACACGAAGGGCTATGGCAAGCGCTGTTCAAGCAGGGAGTTCCTGGAGGTTACGTACGCTTGTTGCGGACGTTGTATACCGATCAGACGGCCCAGGTTTGCACGGATAAATTGAGTAAGCCATATCACATTTTGCGTGGGACGAAGCAGGGCGACCCCCTCAGCACGCTCTTGTTCAATGCTATTTTAGAAGACGTGTTCCGGGACGTAAAGGATGCGTGGGTGAAAAAGAAGTGGGGCTTGCCGCTCGGAGCGACGCCAGAGTGGAGGCTGACAAACTTGCGCTTTGCGGACGATGTGATGCTCATCTCTACCACACTTCGCCAAACCAAACTGATGCTGTCGGATTTGCGCTCGGCGGCATTACGGCGCGGGCTGGAGATCCACCCGGAGAAGACACACAATCCTCAGCAACACGACTCGGGGAAGTGGCCGGCCGAAACAAGCATCTGTTCAAGTTGGGGGCATGGTAATAGATATTGTGCCTTATGAGAGTTCAGTGGAGTATTTTGGAAGGCGGGTCTGCTTCGACCGCCCGCGCGACGTAGAGATTGACCATAGAATTGAGATGACATGGAAGCGCTTTATGAGCCAACGGGCAGAGCTAACAAACAAAAGCTATTGTCTGAATTCACGGCTCCGCCTCTGCGACAGCACGGTGTCTGCAACGCTGCTGCACGGAAGCGCGGCCTGGGTGCTTACAAAAGAATTGGAATATAAGTTGAGACGGACGCAGCGCAAAATGACCAGGATGATTATCGGCAGCCGGCGGCGCGTGCAGAGGCATGCTCTGCCGCGGGGCCCAGCGACCAAGCATGGTTGTATTTCTTGTTCTTCCTCGTCGACTTCTTTGCGGTCCTTCGCTGAGCCCGGGGGAACTGTCCCGGACGAACCAGATAACGAGCTGGAGCCCTGGGTTGACTGGATCAAGCGTGTGACACGAGAAGCAGATGTTCGAGCACAGCAGCTTCGCTTACATGACTGGGTCAATTCACACAGGGATGCTGCAAAGGCGTGGCTCCACCGCATGCGCGGGGACGAACAGTCCCGGGCGCGCCGCGTATGCACGTGGGAGCCCGTGGACCTGGTCAGGCGCCCAAGCGGGCCCCGGAAGCGCTGGTTGGACACGCGCATCTGAGGGGCTGAGGCCCCACGCGCCTCCCTTCACGGGACGGCCTCCGGGCCGAAGGTGCGCGCTTCTTCGCTTCTTCTCCTCCGCGTTCTCCTCCCCGTCCTCCTCTTCCTCCTCCTCCTCCCTTCCTCCCTTCTCCTCCTGCTCCTCCTCCTTCCTTCCTTCCTTCCTTCCTTCCTTCCTTCCTTCCTTCCTTCCTTCCTTCCTTCCTTCCTTCCTCCTCGTCCTCCTCCTCCTCCTCCTCTTCCTCCTCCTCCTCCTTTTCCTCCTCGGGTCGCCTACGGCCCGGGGGAAACCGTGCAGGGCTCCTTGGGCCAGGGGCACGTCTAGCAACACCCGACCGTGGGGGGGGGTTGTGGGGTTTCTCCAACTGGCTCAGGCGACCTGTCCTCCTCCTCCTCCTCCTCCCCGTGCGCTGGGTGGCCTCCTCCTCCTCCTCCTCCTCCTCCTCCTCCTCCTGTGCGTTGGGTGGCCTCCTCGAGTATTCGGATGCGGCCCTTCGACCTGTTCATGGTGCTCCACTGAGAGCATACAGGGGCCGACGCCCCAGACACGCGCCCTGCGGGCTGTGTCCGTGTCTTTTTCTTCGGGTGTGCGGATGGGCCTCCCAGGCTCCCGCTGCGGTTGTGCCCGTGCCCGCTCCGGGGCGCTTCGTGGGCGTCCCGTGCGCGCCCGGCGTGGGTGCTCCAGGTCTTTTCGTTGCGCTCGCGCTCGTCCCCGCTCGTGGGCGCCTCGTGGGCGCCCCGTGTGCTGTGTGTGGGGTGTGAGGAGGAGGAGGAGGGAGGAGGAGGAGGAGGAGGAGGAGGAGGAGGAGGAGGAGGAGGAGGAGGAGGAGGAGGAGGAGGAGGAGGAGGAGGAGGAGGAGGAGGAGGAGGAGGAGGAGGAGGAGGAGGAGGAGGAGGAGAGGAGGAGGAGGGGAGGAGGAGGAGGAGGAGGAGGAGGAGGAGGAGGAGAGGAGGGAAGAGCAAGCGAAGGAGGAGGAGGAGGAGGAGGAGCAGGAGGAGGAGGAGGAGGAGGAGGAGGAGGCTGAAGAGCAAGCGAAGGAGGAGGAGGAGGAGGAGGAGGAGGAGGAGGGGGAGGAGGAGGAGGAAGAGGGTATTCCCGAGGTTTCCCCACGGTCGCGCCCGTGCTCATTCGTGGGCGCCGCCGGGGCGCCTCCTGGGCGCCGTGCAGTTTGCGCCGCGCAGCCTGCACCACCTAGCCTACACCGCATATCGACACCTCGACACCTGGACACCTAGAAGTCCCTGGACAGCTCGTAGAGGTCTAAGAGGGTTTCGGATCAAGGAGCTGGAGCCGCAAGGCAGCACGGATATGGGACATCCTTTTATTCGTGTCTAGGTATTTGTGTGTCCCAGGGCCCCTGCAGCATAGCTTACACGACGTAGTTTGCACCACATTGCTTGCACCGCGCAGCTCGCACCATCTAGTTTCCGTCGCCCAGCTTATACGCCATGGCGTGCACACCGCGCAGCTTGCACAACATGGCCTACACATAGCTCGCACCACGTAGCCCTCGCAGCATAATTTATGCCTCCTACCTCACACGTATTAACATACACGCCCTGATTCAAACACCACTTCTCACACCGCGTGGCTTACACCACATAGCTTGCATCTCCAGAGTGCAACACGTCACTGCTCGGGGTCGACGTCGGTCGACACAAGGATATCAAACGTAGGGCTCTCGCTTCGGTCGCCCTCGAGCATGGAGACGTTGCAATACGTCTGTTATGACGCCCTTTTGGTCATGTCCACGGGGATGGCAAGACGGCCCAAGAAGGCAATGCGTTGAACCCCAATGTGCTTTTCCGAAGAAAGGCCCAGCCCGAGAAGAGAGCTGAGCACAGACACACTCATACTAAGCACCCCGGCAAGCGACACCGTGGGGTCGGGTTGTAGTCTCCTCCCTTTCCTGGATCATCCTTCAACACAAGTGTCTTCGGAGTGGTATTTGAAACGAAGGATATCAGTAAACGTCACGGTGTCGTCTCAATTCTTTGGGGCTTGGCCGCCCGCTTTGCAACTTGCTGGACATCATTGAACCGCACATTGTTCGAGGACTACGATGGGTGTGGTTTCGCAAAGGGTGTGGTTTGCGATCTGCGTCGTTGGGGCTTGGGGGTGCAACGTTGCCCTCGTTGGGCTTCCCCGAGGCGCGGCGGAGATCTCAGTGGAGGACATCCCCCCGCCCGCCAGAGGGCGGGTTGCAACCACACCTTTTGCAAACCATAACCTCCAGAATCGCCGCCTTGACTTGTTTTGAGATGATTATGTTTTCGTCTGGGAGTCCGATGAAGCTGTTGTCGACCTCCGTCTCGATATCGCCTCTACATGCCCAAAGGCGGGCCAACTGGCACCACGAGAGGATCCAACAGGCGGCTTGAAGATCTTGTTTGGATCCGATCCGTAGGTCCATACAGTCAACCCGCGTAGTAAGGATAAGCAACTTTCAGAGGTTACCCTTGCATCCGTCCTCTTCGACTCATCCTTGGCCGCTTTCGCTGGCCGCGCCCCGCTCACAAAGGGTCGGCATGGCCTTCCAAGGCTCTTGCATCTTCATCGTGCGTCCTTCTTCTATGGGTTGAGTGTAGTCCATGGTTGTCCCCATGTGGTCTTTCCAGGAGCGTCTGTGCATATGCTTTGCTTGTGGACGTTCGGGAAGCACGCCTACGTTACATGTCATCCCGATCTTGTTGCACGTTCTTGCGCAGGTCTCGATTCCATGCGTTGTCCGTTTATGTCAAGGCATTTCTTTGCCAGTCTGTTCCAGCAAAGTGTTCCGAACAGCAGCAGTTTCGTCTTCCCTGGTCCAGCAGTCTGTTCCAGTCTTCCTCTGGTCTTCAACAGCAATTTCGTTTCCCTTGCCACTCGGGCTCCAGGCATTCGGTCTCAAGCTTCCCGAGTGGCCAGTTCATGTGACGTGCTCCACACCCTGCCACAAGCACAAGGAGCATGCACCCGGCGCGGGTGGACGACATCAATCCCCAAACCCGCCCTGTGCATTACGCCTCTTTCCCGCCACTGACGCCGGAGGAGGTTGCGTACATACCTGTGTGGCCTTGGGAGGACGGGGGCTTGAAGTTGCAGGAGTGCGCGGTCTGCCAAGGTGCCGCTGGAGACGAAGCGAATACGACGGCGTTGGTGAAGGTCTTCCCCTGCATGCGCACCAACCCAGACACCGCCGAGTCGAGGGCCATGGCGATCATCAAGAACTTGCCCAGCAGGTGCAGAGAAGAGGCCGTGCTCGACGTGATCTCGCAGCTGGGCTTTGGATCCGATGTCACCGCCTTCAGGATGCCGACGCGCGTCGGAAAGGGCAACAGAAAGTTGAACAGGGGTTTCGCGTTCGTTTATTTAATCGCTTCGCTCATTCCGCCAGCCCTGGAGCCGTCTTTAGGGCCTCTTGGGGGCCTCTTGGGGACCTCTTGGAAGTCTCTTGGGGCTCCTTGGCGGCGTTTTGGGGGCCCCCAGGGCCTCTTGGGGGTCTCTTGGGGGCCTCTTGGGGCGGGAGGGGGGGTAGTCGATTGCGGCTCCCCCCTCGGAGGCTACGATTATCGTTAGGGGTGAGTCGAAAAATGGCCCTCCCTTGGAGCGCTCTGGGGACCTGACCGGGACCTGGCCCGGGTACTTTTCGTCCGGGGGCCCCCAGGGGCCGCTCCGCGCGCGCGAACTAGAAATATTGTTTACCAGTTACCGGAGAATTTTAACCCACGCTACTGGAGGTCAGTGGCCTGGTGCCACGCTATCATATAATGTATCAAGACCAGCAGGCTCTGAGATACCCTGAAGGAAGGGAGTTGGTCCATCCCCCCTTTTTCTTCTCCTCCTCCTCGCCCTCCTCCTCCTCCTCCTCCCCCTCCTCCTCCTCCTCCTCCTCCTCCTCCTCTTCTTCCCCCTCCCATCATAAGCCATGGCAGCCAGTTTCTTCCACCAGGCAAACGCTGGGCCATCAGATTGTGAACTGCCCTTGCCTTGTGCCATGGTGGACACACGCCTCCGGCCAGCGGCACTGCTTTAGCCGATGTGTCGTGCAGACACGGCGTCATTGATTGAGTTACTGGAGATCTTAGCACGCCTCTGGCCCGTTGGGCCAGCGAATTTCCAGGACGAGAGTGCGTGCCGGCGGTTCGTGAAGGACGCGGAGGGGTATCGTGGCTTCGGGGAGCATTCCAGCGGCAAGGCCATCTCCGTGACTTTCTCCCTGGAGTTCTCCGGCAGGGCGTAGAGGAGGTCCTCGGCAGGAACGTCCCAGGAGAAGGGGAGACGAGCTGACGGCGGTGTCCTGCCGATAGGGTCCTCTTTTGAAAGAGGCCATTCGCAAGGGAGCCATTCCGTGCGTCTCAAGAGGCCGAGTCGGCTTCGCGCGATTCTGCCATGACAGCTGTCAAATGTGTCCCTCGGCCCATTGCTGAGCCAGCAAGACAGTCGTTTGTGCACATATGTGGGAGTTTCCCGCTCAATTTTCCGTCAGCTTCAAGCTTCTGTCCAGGGGCTGGCGCGTGCGCGCGCGTGTGCGCCGCAATTTCAGAATTCTTAACCTCTGCAAGGGCCGCCTGGTGAGTTAGAGACTCTGCTCTTGCGCCCGAGCTTGTTTCCCAAACAGCTCGCGCCACACGTGTGTTGTGGACAACCTTGCACCACACGTGTACAGCACCAGCCGGCTTGTACCTCGGGGTGCAACGACGACAGGATGGCGGGGGAAGCGGTCGAGGTTGCAGGGGGGAGGGGCGATGCGAGTGCGATCGAAAGTGCCCCTTGATGTTTCGTGCCTGTGCATCTGCGCATCTTCCGTGCTGACCTTCTGGCTCGGGGCTCCTCCACATTGGAGGCGCAGGAGCGCGCGCGCAGCAGTCGAGGTTTTGAGCAGGGCTGAACCTAAACGGTGTTTTGGCGATTTAGTGGGCCGTTCTCGTTTCGACCTCGTTTTGCGACAGAGGTGGATGGAAGACAAAACGAGGGAAAACAGACACAGCACGAAGACGAAGAAACACCAGTGAGGTTTAGCCCTGGGTTGGAAGTTCTGAGCCCTGCACCTCGGCCCTCTGTTGGAAACTCGGTGGCTTCCTTTCTGCACCTGCGTGCGAGAGGATCGGAACGACCGACATGGGTACGGAAAGAATGGGTACAATGCCTAACAGCAGTTCCTGTTCATTTTGGACAGGACCCGCTGTCCGCGCCGCCGCGGATTGTGTCCATTCGAGACAGGAGGCCGCCTGCCCAACAGCGGCCGCTGTTGGTTTGGGACAACATTTGTTGTTGGGTATTGTGCCCATTGTTTCCGTGCCCATCTCGGGCGTCCAAAGAGTATGGGGGAGGGGATCGCAGGCGTCGAGGTTGACGCCAGCACCAATATCGGCGGCGTGCCCTCGCCGAGGGGAGAAGCTCCCGCTCTCGGTGATCGGTGGTGAGATTCTGGCTTCCGAGGCGGCCGAAAGGTGACCACCAACGCCGAAGTCGAGGATCGTCTCCCCCCCCCGTAGAGACAAGCCCCCTGTGTTGGTGCAGGTGCCCACCTCCTCCTCCTCCTCCTCCTCCCTCCTCCTCCTCCTCCTCCTCCTCCTCCTCCCTCCTCCCCCCTCCCCCCCTCCCTCCTCCCTCCCCTCTCCCTCTCCTCCTCCTCCTCCTCCTCCTCCTCCTCCTCCTCCTCCTCCTCCTCCTCCCTTCGCACTGCACCGCCATTCGACCCTGGGAGATCCGCTCTCTGCCTGCCTGCTTCTGCCGGCCTCTCGCCCCCTCCTGCTCCGAAGCCGGGCAGGCCCCTCTACCGGACGAATGACTCGAACATTGTCAAATCATAGCCTGGGGACGAGGTTTCGATTATTTCGACCACTGTGGAATTAGTGCCCATGTTTACTCTCTCTTCCAAAAACCGCCTGAAGGAGGACATGCCCGACCTAGTCCTACTCGTCTTCTCTGGCCGCCCGCGCGGAGACCTTTCACTCTGGAGGCGCCCCTCTGGGGCTGCCGGACCGACGCGCGCCGAACCTGGCCGCCTGGCCCCGATGGAGCGTTGAATCTTCCCGCTGGGTACGTGCCCTGCCCTTCCACCTGGATCTGAGGCTGCAACAGTCCGACGAAGGCACCTATACACCACCACCGTGCCAGGCCAGGGCCATCCTGGGCCCCAGGATGGTGTATAGACCCTCCCGACCTCGGCCAGGATGGCGCATGCACCATGCCAGGGCCAGCATGGCCGTGGCCTGGCGCGGTGGTGGTGTCTAGATGCATTCTGCGTAAACAGGGCTGGATAGCCGAGCTAGGCCTCTGCAGTGGTGGGCCGAACTGTCTGTCGACATCCACAGCACTGAGTTTAGAGGAGGCCCGCCATCTTTTTGTACACGGGACCGTTTGGAGCGCCATTGCCGCGGGCTCTGGCCGTGATGTTAGGTCTGGCCTGGCGAGACCGAGCGGGTCATTCTGCCAGTGCAAGGGCACATGCAGCGGCCCGGATGCCTACGTCTTGGTGTTCCCGTCAGCTCTCTGACGGGACGCTGTCCTCCACACGGTCATTACACGATTTGCTGCACAGCGCTAGGCATTGTCATCTTCTCTTCGTCCCGTCACGCGCTCTCACCTTGCGCCGCCACCAATCAGCTCGAGTCGGACAGCTGCCCTGCTCCGACCTCGTCGGATCGATTCCTGCGGCGCACGTGCGGAGCTGTAGCACATCCCCCTCCACCACTTTTAATATTTTCCTTCCCATCCTGGGGTGCAGTTTTGGAGCTCACTGTCACCCCCCAGAGGAATCGCCCACCTCTGGGTGTGTACATGGGCTGCATTCGCGTGGAAGTTAAACATCCTACCATCCCTGCCTCTGCCCTCCGCACCAGTCAACCATTTCGGCACACCCCTCGCACGCATCGTGGCCCCATCGGGAGCTCCACCGAAGGCCCCAGCAGCATGGTCCACATGGCGGCGCCGCTTCCTTTTGGCGCACCCCTCACACAGTTCGTAGCCCCACAGGGAGCTCCACCGATGGCCCCCGCAGCAGGGTCCACACGGCGGCGCCGCCCTATTTTCGCGCATCGCTCACACGGTTTGTGGCCCCATAGTGAGCTCCACCGAAGGCCCCAGTGGCAAGGTCCACATGGCGGCGCCGCCCCATTTTCGCGTACCCCTTCACACGGTTTGGGAGCTTCACCGAAGGCCCCAGTTGCAGGGTCCACATGGCGGTTCCGCCCCATTTTAGAGCACCCCTCACACGGTTCGTGGCCCCATGGGGAGATCAGCCGACAGCCCCAGTGGCAGGGTCCACATGGCGGTACCGCCCCGTCTTCACTCATCTCTCACGATTTGTGGCCCCGTTGGTTTTTGGGGCGTTCGCAGGCGCGGCCAGGCGCTCGCAAATGAGTCTGGGGCATCCATTTTGATGCCTATTCGTACGGCCATTCGGGGCGGCAGCTCTAGGGTTAAGTCGGGCCTGACCCTCCACAGGAGGAATCTTCAAAAATGGTCAACAAAATAGCCACCGCAAGCTGGAGGGGGAAGGAGGTGGAGGAGGAGGAGGACGAAGAAGAAGAAGAAGAAGACGAGGAGGAGGAGGAGGAGGGCTCCTCGCCCTCCCACTCCTGGCGGTGGTGGTGGTGGACAAACAAGCCCATGCCATAGGAGGCCGCAGCCGGGGGCGCGTGGGCCCTCGTACCTCGCCTCCTCCTCGTTGGGGAGGTCGGTGGCGCGCCCCGCGGCGCCGGGCCGAGCGCTGGCGCGCCCCGCTCGGGCCGCCGCTGCTTCTCCCCGTGGCGGTGGCGTGCGGAGCGCCCCTAATTTTTAAGTCGGGCCTGTCCCTCTACAGGAGGAATATCCAAAAACAGTCAAACAGAACCGTAGTCGGGGGACTATTTTCCGGATCATTTTTGGAATATTGTTGGGGTATTCTAAATTTTTGCCCTAAATCCCCCGTAGGGGGACAGACCCGGCCTAACCCGACTTAACCCTAAGCAGTGGCGAAGCGTCCCGGCTCGCCTATAGCCCTACCAAACAATGTTCTAAGAACCTTTTGGTGCTTTCCACGACATGTTCTCAGAGCATTTCTGGCGGAGTCTGTCCTGTTTTGTCACTAAGAATATTGTTCTTGTCCTTAGAACAAATGTGGGTTCTAAGAACATTTTGTGGTAGGACTATAGGCATGCCGGGACGGTCGGTCCCTGCTCAAATTCAATATCGTTTAACCGATCCCCATCCCCATCCCCTTCCCCTTCGAGACCCCCACCAAATTACCCCCCAGTTGGGGATGCACCCCTCGAAAGCCGAAGGGAACGGCCTACATCCCCATCTAGGAGGGTAAATCGGCCAGTGGGGCCCAGGCCACGCCACTGGGGATTGGGATCGGCTAAACGATACTCACTAATGAGGGTTCCTTAAACAAGGGTTCCCTCATAAGGATTTCTTAGTAAGGATTCCGTTGCAAGGATTCTTTGCTAGGGATTTCTTGCTGCCGAGTCCTCAACGAAGGGTTCCTTAGTAACGACTCCTCAGTGCGGATTTCGCCGTGAAGGTTCCTACCTCATGTCCTCAGTACGGATTCCTCAGTAAGGACTCCCCGGGAAGGACGGCCGTGTCAGCAGCGCTTGTAGGCGCGGCCCGGCGACCGCCCCGTCTTGGAGTTCGGCGTTGCTCGGACGTGTGCATTTGGTTTCTCGGCGAGGACCCTCCAGGAGTACCCTGGGTCCTCGAGCGAGGCAAAACAGAAGCACGCGCGAGAACGAACAGTGCACGGGAAATGGACGTCCGAGCGATGGCAAGTTTTTGCCCACCCCGAGGAGGAGGAGGAGGAGGAGGAGGAGGAGGAGGAGGAAAAGGATGAGGAGGAGGAGGAGAAGGAGGAGGAGGAGGAGGAGGAGGAGGAGGGGGGAGGAGGAGGAGGGGGGAGGAGGAGTCTCCGCAGTGTTTGAAGGCGTGGCCTCGCGGCCGCCACTGTCTTGAGGCGTGGACTCGGCGGCAGCGCCCGGGCGCCCCGGCGTCGGCCCCGTGCGTGGGAGCGTGTCCGCTGAAAGAGCTGTTGTGCGCCGAGGCGGTCTTTGCCGTTGGTACCTTCGGTTGTTCCTTCTTGGCGGTAGCTTTACGTCGGGCCCGTCTCTCTACAGGAGGACGATTCCAGGGACTGTTTTGAGCATATTTTTTGACCAGTTTGGAT